CATAAAGAGTGCAGACGAGGGGGGGGTCACACATTATGTCGAAAATTATTATTATTATTTTTTTCAGGGATAATAATTTTGAATAAATTTCGCATCTCATGCAAAAGAATGTAATAGTTTAGGTTTATTATTCTTCAACAAACAAAAAAAAATAATTTAAAAAATAATTTAAAAAATAATTTAAAAAATAATTTAATATATTTTATTATATTATATAACTTGGATCTGTAGTGCGTCTGTAGGTAAGTATAAAATGTACAATATGTCTGATAAATATACTATTTAGGTAAAAAGTCCGATAAATTTTTCAAAAAATAAAGGATACTTTCTTATACGTTGAAAAAATCAATTAGTATGTGATCGACGCATGACAGATTCAAAACTATATTATAGTTTATTAAATAACTTAATATTGTCGATCTTATCTGAATCGCCAATTAAAAAATAATTTTCTTTTTATATTTCTTTGGCAAATGTTTCTGCTACAATAAGCGGAAATACTATAGTTGCGTCAGAATGTATCTAAATAATAAATAAATAAATAATAATGATAATAATAATAAATAATGATAATAATAAAAATAATGATAATAATAAAAATAATAATAACAAATAACAATAACAATGAAAAATTTACTTTAACTGAATCAGCATTCATTTTAATTTTACCCCAACTAACTGCTTCATCAGGTCTCGCTCCTGAATCACTTCCATCAAATTCATGTCCAGTATTTATATATACTGCATAATCTGCTCCATTTCTCTTTATTATTATTGTTGTTGTTGTTGTTAATATTAATTTAATAAATGTTAATGATTGAAAATTAAATAAATTAAAAATAATAATAAATTAATAAATTAAAAATATTTTACCATAAGATTTGCATTACATATGTGATGCTTAATTACACCACCTCCTAATATAATCATTCCAGTTTTCCTAGCAAATACAGCTTGATCATTTATAGATCTAATATCAGAAACAATATCTAATAAAAGTCCAGGATTCCTGAAAGAATGAAAATAGATCATATCTCCTATTGATCCATCTGTTATGGCAGGACAATATACTGGTATTTTATTCTGTAATATGTGAGTTTAAAGAAGGATAGGGGAAAAAAAAAGGAAAGAGAATGAGTGAGAGAGATATATATAAAATTTAATAAAATTTATAATATAGTAACAGTAGTAATAATAATAATTGTATTAAATAATTATTAGTTACTTTGTGTGCCCAGTAATATATAGATTCAGGATTATTTATTTCTTTACCTAATCTATCAATAATTTTTGATGGTGACCATATTGTTCCCTTTACTCACACACATAATAAAAATATAAATAAAATATAAATATTCTGTGTAAGTAAACAAATAATAAACACTTAGTAAATAGTAGTAAGAAATACCTCATCCTTTTGTTCTTTTAATAATTGATCTAAAATTGGAACAATCCAATCTTCAAATTTACAATAATTATCATTTGGAACTATTAAATTACCAATTCGATTTAATCCTTTTTTTCTTAATTCAACTCCGGGTAAATGAAATTCCCCTAAATAAGTTGAAGCTAAACATTTAATAAAATCTTCTTCTACCCCTCCCCCTGTG